CTGCAGCTTTCACTTGCCGCTCCAGCTCTCGACACCAGGTCTGGTACTGCAGTACCTGAATGGATACAGAGAATGAAGATGAGAGAAGCAGCTTGTTACAGACTCTGCTCACCCACATTAACTTTTCTCTGACTCTGTCCAGCACAGTGATTCTGATACGCTCAACAAGAAGTCACTGCAATACAGGGAAGCTTCACTTTAATACGACAGAGATTGGGGCGGGGTTTCTTTCAGCCGTAGCACCGTTTGCTCACCTCAGCGGCAGCAAGCAGAACCGTGGGACAGGTGCGGGCAGCTCTACCTGACCTACGGCCCTCACGTACCCCGAGCCAACATCTGGCTGTTCAAGGGGGTCCTTGAAGCGATCGAAATGAGTTTTCAAACTTGCTCTGCAAGCAAACCGGCCGGACTCCTGCCCGCTGCTAACGGGGCCGAACAGCAGCGATGCTGCAGGCACCGAGATCAGGAGGGGCTCGGCAGCGAGACCGCGGCGGGACGGGCGCTCCCGGGGCCTTCCCGCCCCACGTTCCGAGTTCGGCGCCGCCCGCCCGGGGAGGCCCAGCGGGCTCCCGCCGAGTCCCTCTGGGCAGCGCGGGCGGCCCTGCACCCCCTCCCCGCCGCCGGGCACCGCCCGCTCCTCACCTCGTCCTGCAGCTGCCGCACCAGTCCCGCCTGCCGCTGCTGCGCCTCCTCCGCGCTCCGCAGCCGCCGCCGCAGCGAGCCCGGGCTGAGCTCCCTGGGGCTCGAGCTGCCCGCCATGGCCGGCCCGGCCCAGCCCAGCCCTGCCCTGCCCAGCCCAGCCCAGCCCGCCTCGAGGGGGTCCCGCCCCGCCGGCCGCGGGAGGAGCGGCTCCCCGGGGCCGCCCGGAGGCAGCGCAGGCTCCGTGAGGGGCGGCGCGGCCTTCCCGTGGCGGGCCCGGCGCTGGTCGCTGTCGGCGCTTCCGCTGCGCTGCGCCGGCAGGGAATGTCATCAGAAAATACGGTGACCGTGAACCCTCCGCATTTCATCGGGAATTGTTCTGAGAGTTAGTTAAGTTAACCCTATTGCTAAAAATATGTTTCACTTTGTGTTTAGCTGCTGAATAAAGCTGGCTTGTTTTCAGTCCCTGCTTTTCCCCGTGACAGTGAATGCTTCATCACTCACATTCTGTTTTGTTTTGGTGGGTTTTTTTTGATTTTTTTTTTTAAGAGGTGGAATAAATGAATTGCCAACAAAATTCTCTTTGGTCAGCATCAGCGAAGTAATTTGGGATCTCGGAATCTCTCAAATCTGGAACCATTTAAACATGCTTCTATTGCAAAAATGAACAATACCTATCAAAGGGAGCTTAGGCCAATTAACATTGTATACCAAATGGAGGGACTCTGTTAGTGAATAGGCTTGAAGAAGCTTAAAACAAACCCTGAATTTCTCTAACTGGTAGCAGGCAGGGGTACCAAAAATTAGGAAAAAAATTAATTTCCACTTAATTCAGAGTTGGGGAAATTAGGTACATCTGTGGAATCAAGAAACAAAAATAACACTCCCACTCAGGATATTCCATGTTTCTATGATTCTGTGCTTTGTAGTTCACTACTGTTCACAGATGTAGCCAAGTTTCTTAATAACAATGACACAATTATTTCATTGGACTTCCAATTTTTTTATTTAACATCACAACATTGTAGCACAGTGTTTTAAATTATGCCACCTTCACATGGAAGTGGAAACATCATTAAATTTGTTTTGCTCCGGCCCAAGATAAGCAAGTTTTAATTATAACATCTTAATTATAACAAGTTTTGTGTAATTATTTCCTCTTGAAAAGCACAGAGCTGTTAAGTTCCTTCCTAAATTGTAACTTCACACTTTTAAAAAACAGTTGCCCAAGTGCAATGGTGCAGAGGTCTAAATCCTCCCAGAAACAGAATGATAATTAGTTTCAATAAGCAAAACAATGTGACAGCAAATGGCTTAATATATGGAGTTAACTCAATCTTGTAAGTCCTTTCTGGAAATTAGTCCACCTTGGAAAGGACAATGAATTTCCTGATAGATCACTATAAAGGCTTCCATGTGCAGCTTCAACTGCAAGTTTGCAGCAGAGAGCAAATTCTAACTCTTGGCATCACATATGCAATGGAGCTGCTCATCCTGAGGGAATGACAGTGTTTTCAACACTATGAAATCTTCCTCTGGCTCCCCAGAGTGATCCCTTCCTCTAGACCATGCTGGACATCCAGAAGGGCTGAGATTAACTGAAGGAGGCATCACAGCTCATGTAGGCATAGCGTCAGGATCTGGAGAACAGGAGGCAAGGCACTTCCAGGGAGCAGGGACACAGGTGGCCCTCCCTTTTCAAATCCCTACCCACACCGTGTGAGGGAGGAGCTGCTGTCACAGAACAGGCTCAGAAGGACAGGTGGGCTACATGGACCTGGCCACTCGAGGGTGCACAAGAGTGTGCCTGGCGGTGAGCAGCGAGAGGCTTGGAACACCACTTCCACTGTGTCCTGTATCCAGAGCCTCACCAGCAGGAGGGTTTCTAGCTACATATTGAACATATCAGTGGAGTTTGAGTTTAGCCAGCTGGAATGACTCCACTTAGGTGTAGGGTTCATGGAAACCCCCAGTCTGTGGGTCTTGTTCAGGGTCAGCATTCCACTCTGCGGTCTGTGGGGCTCAGTGCACTCTACAGCATCTGAGCTCCTGTGGTTCCAAGCACTGGGATGGCATTTGCTTCAAGAGAGACTCTTTTAAAAAGGAAGATTAGTTTGCACACCTTGTTTTGCTTGCTTTTCCTTTTCTTTCTGTCTAACTCTCTTCAGCCCACTAAGATTTTTTTAAGCTCAGACATGTAAATATTCTTTGAGCATATCAATGATCATGCTTTAATTTGATTTACTAAGACAAGGCCCATGTAATCACATTGTCCAACCTCCTGTTCTTTCACGTCCCATCTCTTAAATCTGTTTGCAAATCTCAGCCAAGTTTGATAGAGCAAATGACCTTTTAAAGATATTAAATTCTTAAAAGCATTGTGAAAACTGGAAGCTGGATAGATTAAAAGTGGAAATTCAACATTTAGCTACTTTTGTGACTTACTGGCAAGCTGATAAATACCCACAAGGTGCAGAACCAGACACAGCACACCACCCAGCAGAAAGGTGGGAAGTATGGGAAGGATAAAGTGATGGCATGGCTGGGAGGGCCATGGGATGCTGTGGAGTGACTGCTGGGGAATGGTTTCACCAGAGGTGACTCTCAGGAGAAGCTGCTTTATTTTGTAGGGAAATATCAAAATCACAACTGACATCAGAGGAAGGGTCTTCAGATCAAAATCAGGAGGAGGATCATGATGTGAATCTACCTTATCTGTGACATCTGTAAAATCACTGAACTCTTCTATCCTTCAGTTCCTCCATCAAAACAAGTGAAGCATTCAGAGCTCCTCATGTCATGCAGGTTGTCATTTCTGAAAGCAGTTCAGTGTTTCTGATACTGGTCAGGGTGGGTGGGGAATGCTAAGCACACACAGAACAAGCTAAAAGGTGGTGCACCTTTTTCCTTTCATCTTAACTCGGAAAGAAAAGAAATTGCAGGAGAAGGACTGGGCTTAGCATCAGTGTAAAATGAGAAATGGGTCCCAGTAATCCCTGCTGAGTCCAGCACAGTGCCTCCTTTCCTGAAGGCTCGTTTAGAACAACAGTTCGTTTTTTGCAGGTTATGAAAGACACACTTGGCTGACAGCTGCAGGACAGCCCTGACAGTGAGGAGCGCTGGTTTTCACCTGCAGCCTTCTTGGGGCCCCGGGGTCAGCAGCTCTTGGACATTTTGCGTCTAAAATTAAAACAAAGGCTGCTGTTCAGCAGTCTCGGAGGAAAGACGGGGTTCGGCCTGTCTCCAGCTCCCGAGTGGCTGTGGAGAAGGAAAAGAAGGAGGAGGAGGAGGAGGAGGATGGCTGCCTGCAGGGTGCACTGCTGCCCCGCTGCACCGCGCCCGCCCCGCGGGGCATCCCCTCCGGCAGGAGCTGCTTCTCCAGCTGGGCTGACACGGGTTTTTTTAAGCACAGCAATAAATAAGCCAAAATACACTGACTGCGGGCACGGCCCTGTTGAGTTTGTGTAAAATTAAATGTTACCCTCGTTAAGCGCCTGTGTTGCAGCGCAGCCCTTCAGTCACGGGGGGACGGAATGAAGCCACTGTTAAGGTTCTCTGAAAAAAGAGCTACATGAATTATTTCTAAATTAGTTTATGTATGTGTCCAGTGGACTGTGTGACAGCTCTCAGTTGTTGATCTTGCAGTTTGTCCTGTCTAAATGTGAAGTTCATCGAGGGCTGAGGCAGAGGTCATACTGCCACTTGAAAAGGCATCCTCTGGAGTTTTGAGCCTGTGGAGCTGTTTCACATGAGGCAGAGTATGACTCATGCTAATGAAAAGGGTAAAGAAGATTTTTTTTTAAGAAATATATCGCAGTTAAATTAGTTTAGACAGCATGACATCAGAGAGTAATTAAATAGGTTTGTTGGAATTCCGTTTCCAATTCCAGAGTTCAGGTTTGTAAAAGATTTCTGAGCACCTGCAGGCCTCTGTGTGTGAAATATTTTCACTGGAAAGGATTCAAAACTCAAAACTTTAAAAAAACCTTTTAACACAGAGGCAGCATTACGCCATTCTTCCTTCTTGGAAAAAAAAAAAAAAAACCCTCGGATTTAAACAAGACTCCTTCAAGTTTTCAGTCAGTTTTACAGAAGAAAACGAGGTGGTAAACTTTCTCTTTTCAAGAACAAGTTCTTTATAGCTGCTAACTAAAGTCAGGGGAGATCGTATCTGAGTACATGAGCATTTCCACTATGGGACTGGATACAAGTATTGAACAACGATATTTGAAATGTTTTAATCTCAAAAGAAAACCATTTTTGCTAACTTTGGTTTTTAATTTCTTTTATGTTTTCTTCTGCCAAACTGGAGGAACCTTTTCTGATTTTTTCTTTAGTGGCATTCAGAGGAAGACCAGAGGATGAAAATCCTGCATTTTCTCACTTTACTGCTTTGGCATTTGACTTGGCTGTCTCTGGATCTAGTTCCTGGAGCGCTGAGTAATTCTGAAGCAGGCCAGGGTAATCCAGGATCTAAACTAGGTTTTTTGAAAGCAGAAGGAAAGGAGAGGAACCCCTCCGCACGGGCAGGTACATTGAGGACTGCAAGCCATGGATACAGTGCTGGGACCTCAAAGGCCAGGACTAAAAGCAGTGCTGTTCAGGCTGGAGCTCTGCTGGCCAAGAATGATGACTCAAAGAAGGTTCCCTCAAGAACAGCAGCCATGGAGGGCAAGGTAGGACATCTCCCCGGCAGACCTTCTGGAGTAAGGACAGTGACTCCAAAGGTTCAAAATCTTAGCAGCAAGGTGGCTTTGAAAAAAACTGGCACAAGCAGTACTGACACTGATTCTTTCAAAACCAAAAAGACTAAAGAGCCTGTAACCCAGAGGGAAGCTAAGGAAACTTTCCGACATCCCCCGATAACGCCACATGAATACATGCTCTCTTTGTACAGGACTCTCTCAGATGCAGAAAGAAAGGGTGTTAATGGAAGTGTAAAACTGGAGGCTGGACTGGCCAATACAATAACCAGCTTTATAGACAAAGGACAAGGTAAGAAAGGAGCTTGTGTGTGAGTGAGTGTGAACAGAGAGAGATGTCTGAGTGTGCTTATAAATGCAGAGAGTATTGGAAAATAATCATACTTTGGTAAAGTCAAATAGCTCTTTTTAATGTACATGAAATCTCACAACTTTGCTGCAGATTTTGTCCTCCTGCCTTATCTTGGAAAACTCATTTACAGGCAGAACTAGATGGTTGTGTGGCAGCCAAAGAAAACATTTAGGAAGTATTTTAGATGCATATTGTGGAAAATCAATCAGTCTTTGAATGCTTAGGTGTTTAAAAACCTTTCACATTTTTGTCTTATTTTCTTTCTAGCTAGCTGGAAACTTGCTCATGGAAACAGCTAATGTTAAATTGTAGTGTGCCTAAAAACATATAATATGCTAAGAACAGAGCTATTCTGTCAAAGAACCCCAGTCTGGTTTGTTCAAGGTAGAATTGTGAGGAACTACACTGCAGACCCAGGGGTCATTATGCTGTGGGGTGGCTGTATCTGTGCTACCTTAAAAGTTTCAGATAGCACCAAGGAGCCCACAGCTCAGCACAGGCTACCAAGGGTAATAACATCCAGGACTCCAGAACTTGCAGCTTAACATTCCTGTTCCAAACACTTCTGGAAATTTGGGCTAGTATCTGCTTTCACAGGAGAAATAATCAGCCTCCCAGTGAATAATGTTCACCTCCCCACCCTGCTTTGGGAGCCCCATCTTGCTTCCAGTGACACTGCTAAGAGTTTTGTCACATTCTCAAGGAAGCAACACAGCTGGTGAAGGAATTGTGATGAAAGACTCACCAAGACTGGATTTGTTTGCCATCTCTTCATTGATAGCTTGGCTGCTGGGAAGGGGGGATGCACTGCTCACAAGTGCTGCCTTCATGTTCCCAGCTTGCCACTGGAAGGCTCTGTTAATATCACCTCACTGGAATGAATATGGCTCAGCCATATTCTTTAACACCTGAAGCAAGTGTATGTAAAGTCAGGATAAAGAGAGGAATTTTTTTTTCTGCCCAGTTTGAAAAATTGTGAATTATGTGGGGTTTAGTTAATTAGACAATTATCTTTATCTCTGGAAGTTCCTGGGGATGCTGGTTTTAAAGGACTAATTCACTGTTTCATCATCTAAGGGTAAATCTGCTCATGTTTGGAGCCAGCATAAGGCCTGGCCACCGCTGAAGCTCTCTTTCAGTAATTTAAGTAGGATATGAGTGGTAAATAGGTCCTGTGAATGCTCAGCACTGAAAAAGTATTATATTTATATATTATTATATATTATTATAATATATCTCCTGCCTTATCTTGGAAAACTCATTTACAGGCAGAACTAGATGGTTGTGTGGCAGCCAAAGAAAACATTTAGGAAGTATTTTAGATGCATATTGTGGAAAATCAATCAGTCTTTGAATGCTTAGGTGTTTAAAAACCTTTCACATTTTTGTCTTATTTTCTTTCTAGCTAGCTGGAAACTTGCTCATGGAAACAGCTAATGTTAAATTGTAGTGTGCCTAAAAACATATAATATGCTAAGAACAGAGCTATTCTGTCAAAGAACCCCAGTCTGGTTTGTTCAAGGTAGAATTGTGAGGAACTACACTGCAGACCCAGGGGTCATTATGCTGTGGGGTGGCTGTATCTGTGCTACCTTAAAAGTTTCAGATAGCACCAAGGAGCCCACAGCTCAGCACAGGCTACCAAGGGTAATAACATCCAGGACTCCAGAACTTGCAGCTTAACATTCCTGTTCCAAACACTTCTGGAAATTTGGGCTAGTATCTGCTTTCACAGGAGAAATAATCAGCCTCCCAGTGAATAATGTTCACCTCCCCACCCTGCTTTGGGAGCCCCATCTTGCTTCCAGTGACACTGCTAAGAGTTTTGTCACATTCTCAAGGAAGCAACACAGCTGGTGAAGGAATTGTGATGAAAGACTCACCAAGACTGGATTTGTTTGCCATCTCTTCATTGATAGCTTGGCTGCTGGGAAGGGGGGATGCACTGCTCACAAGTGCTGCCTTCATGTTCCCAGCTTGCCACTGGAAGGCTCTGTTAATATCACCTCACTGGAATGAATATGGCTCAGCCATATTCTTTAACACCTGAAGCAAGTGTATGTAAAGTCAGGATAAAGAGAGGAATTTTTTTTTCTGCCCAGTTTGAAAAATTGTGAATTATGTGGGGTTTAGTTAATTAGACAATTATCTTTATCTCTGGAAGTTCCTGGGGATGCTGGTTTTAAAGGACTAATTCACTGTTTCATCATCTAAGGGTAAATCTGCTCATGTTTGGAGCCAGCATAAGGCCTGGCCACCGCTGAAGCTCTCTTTCAGTAATTTAAGTAGGATATGAGTGGTAAATAGGTCCTGTGAATGCTCAGCACTGAAAAAGTATTATATTTATATATTATTATATATTATTATAATATATAATTATATCATAATATATATAATATATATTATAAAATATATATTATTTTATAATAATCACAACTAACCACAATTTTGAAGGTAGAAAATGCCCCCTGGTGAAAGAAAGGAGATTTCTACAAGGCATACTCAGAAACTCATTTCGCTCATGAGTCCCTGAGTTCTTCTGAGTCCCTGCATGGGTCTGATCCCTTAGGCAAAAATTGTTTTTTCTGTTCAGTGGGCTAATTTTGAGGCTTATAAGCAAATATGAGGAAAACCATTAAGAACTGAATAAGTGATATTGGTCTGTGCTTGATATACATTTAAAAATCTGTGTGCTTTTTTTAGATGAGCGAGCACCAACTATAAGAAAACAAAAATATATTTTTGACATCAGTGCATTAGAAAAAGATGGTTTGCTGGGAGCAGAGCTTCGAATATTGAGAAAAAAACCTTCTGATACATGGAAGTCTCATTCTTCTGGAAGAACTTCCCAAGTAAAATTATTTAGTTGCTCTACAAACAGACAAGCCTCAACACTCTTGGACTCCCGGACTGTCAGCATCACTGATACACCCAAGTGGGAAGTGTTTGACATCTGGAAACTGTTCAGAAACTTTAAAAATTTGGTTAACTTGTGTTTTGAACTGGAAACTTTTGACAGGGGGAGAGCTGTTGATCTCAGGAGTGTGGGATTTAATAGAACAGGAAGACAGGTCAATGAAAAGGCTCTGTTCTTGGTGTTTGGGAGGACGAAAAAAAGAGACTTATTCTTCAATGAAATCAAAGCTAGATCCGGCCAAGATGACAAAACTGTTTATGAGTACTTATTCAATCAGAGGCGGAAGAGAAGAGCTCCTCTAGCAACACGGCAAGGGAAGAGGCCCACCAAGAACCTGAAGGCAAGGTGTAGCAGAAAAGCCCTCCACGTGAATTTTAAGGATATGGGCTGGGATGACTGGATAATAGCCCCTCTGGAGTATGAGGCGTATCACTGTGAAGGGCTCTGTGAATTCCCCCTCCGATCCCACCTGGAGCCCACCAACCACGCAGTTATCCAGACTTTAATGAACTCGATGGACCCCGAGTCCACGCCCCCGACTTGCTGTGTCCCAACCCGGCTGAGCCCCATCAGCATCCTTTTCATTGACTCTGCAAACAACGTGGTCTACAAGCAGTACGAGGACATGGTGGTGGAGTCGTGTGGCTGTAGGTAGCAGAACAGTTGCTCGTGTGAATATGTTATGAAAGGTAATTTGACACATTGGACATAACTTCTCCTCAAACAAGGTTAACTAGATTTCTTACCCCTAGGGTAAGTATGTTTACAAGGATGTAGCAATAAATCCAGTGTTTCTGTGTCTCTCCATGGACATATTTCAGTAGCATTTGGATGCTGTCACACAGCTGGATTTAAGGCTGTGTGCAGCTGGCAACACAAGACTGACTCTAAGTGAAGTCCATGACAGAGAAGATGATACCTGTACACCTTGAGATCTCTTGCTTTTAGCCTCGAGGCAGTGGATAGAGATGATATCAGTGCACTGTGGATATGACCTGTTTGTTCCTTGAACATTGTTCTTGAGAATGAATTTCTGTCTGATTCCCATGTGCTTTGTCCATTCATACATGTGAGAAAAGAGTCCCAATGTTGAGAAGAGTTGTGTTCTGGTGTGCCCCCCTCTTGGTGTAAATAGTTGCACTGTAATATGATTTCCTTCTGATTAGCTCTTGAAACTATGCATATATAAAAAGGTGTCATTAAATATAATATGTTGGTTTAGTTTTAAGTTTTACATAAAGATAGGTGATGCAGGAGGTGTTTCCTTCCATGTATGTTTTCCTCCAAGCTACACATCTTTCTTAAGTATCCACCTTTCCATTATTATGTAGCAAAATATATTATTCTGTATAAGGTCCAAGTTGTTCTCAAGTGCTCATAGTAAAAGCGTTCACTTATGGCATAAGATGTAATAAATTATTGACACAGTGCTGCATTGTGCCTAGCTGTCCAACTCTGCATAATTATAACGCAATTAAGAAATTGTTTTATGTTTTTGTACAATAAATACAAGTGAAAGGGACTTTTCCATGCAGCAGAATACCAGGGGTATGCAAAACATGTCTGTGTATTTTGCTGCCACAGAGAGAAACTGTGGAAACATTGAAAGAAAGATTTGAAAGGAAGGCCTGGTTTGATCTGGTGGGGAATGACACTGTGACTTGATGTGTTTAGGGCAAAAATGAGTTATGCAGATGGTTGCAAAAGAGCTTTGGTATCCTTTTATTCCAGCATCTAAGGACTGTGTGCTTGTATATCCTCTTTATCTATTACAGACATGGATTATAAATGGGATTGTCCCTGTAGTTTCCACCCACAAAGTCAGATACCAAATGTTCAACTACAGACATATCAGAAAGGTCCTATGAACCAACAGAAATTACTGAAGGAGTTTATCAATAGTACAAAATATAAATGCTAAGGTTTGATATTACTTAGACCACTGAGTCATAAGATTTCCTGGCTCTGCACAGCATCACTGGTGTGGTAGATGCAGGGAGCTGAGTATGACCCCCAAGGTCCTTCTGCTTAGTACCCCAGTCTGGACATGCTCAAGCTCACACCAGCAGCAAACCATCCTAAATTCCTGATCAATGGCCATAAACAGCGACAAAAATCTCTGCCCTTTCTCCTGCAGTCTCTGGGTAGCTCAGCCTTTAACCTTTAGCTTAGTGCACCTGGATAAGCAGCCTTGCTGCCAGACACCTGGGGAGCCCCCGTGCAGGGGACCTGCCCTGTGCCCTCACCTGCAGCTCGGGAATGCAGAACAGCCCTGCAGGGAGGTTTGGTCTGCAGGATTTGCTCCGTGGTCATTCCTGCTTGCAGAGACTGACACTGCCTGGCTTGGAGGGGCTGACGCTGCCTGGTTTTCCTGCCTGCAGGGACTGCCCACCTGCGGCAAACCCGGGGATCAGAAAGCTGCTCCTGCTGGGACGGTGAATGCCCAACATGCAGGGCAACAGGCACACAGAATGAGGAGCACTTGAAGGTCCTTTGTAACAAGTGTGTGAGAAATTCTGGTGGTTTATGGGTCTTTTTGGTGTGTCAGGGCTGCCAGCAGGGATTCCCCATCTCCTTCTGGACTCTCAGTGTCCCTTCCCAGGTCCTGCTCTTCCTCATCCTCATGGAGCCTTAGGCCAGGCACAGCAATTACTGACCCCAGCACTAACTGCTTATCACCAGCTAGTCTTTCAAAACTACTAGTCTAAGCTTTACTAAAACCTGATTTAGATACCGCTGATTTTTATTGTTGCTACAGTAGGAGGGAAAACATTCCTCTGCCAAGTGCAAAGCCAGGAGGGTACCTCAGTCTTTTTTTTCCCCCCCTGATCTGTTCAAGCAGTTCTTTTCCTGCTCCTGGCTGTTCTCAGGTGTGTTTGCAGCTTCCTCTAGCACTGGCTCCAGCTATCTCCTGAAGAGGTTTACTAGATGACCATGACAAAGGGTTTTCTCCTTTCTTCCTTAGGCAAGTGCTGCTCCCACTCTCTGGGAATGCTGTTTGCACATCCCCAAGGAAGTCTCTGCTCTGACACGTGAGACACAGCTGTGCCATGCCAGTTACTAACCACACAGACACACTCTTCAATGGCTAAGGGTGATCAGTTTAAAATAGCAAATACTGCCTATTTAAATACACTTGAAGCAAATCTAAGATGAGACAAGTTAACTCCTGGGATTAGGACTGCCTGCATAGGGCAGTTTACTTCAGTACACCTGTATTCATCAAGTGCTGTAACAACTGTGGTGGATGGGAGCACTGGTGTTACACATGAGGCATGATAGTTTGAAAATCGGAGGAGGAAAATTCCTGTTCTGTTCACACTGCAGAGCTGGTGATCAGCCTGAGAGTCCTGGTGAGGCTGGTCATAACAGAAAGTTTCTAAAACCTAATAGGTATAAACCTCTCTGAGGTTCTTTCTTGCTGTCCTTGTATGAGTTTTTCAATGCATGAATAAAGCAAGATAAAGGCTCAGGTAAATGGTATTTAAATTGATTATATATCAGCATCTAAATGGAAAAATATGCCAAGGTTTTGCAATCATCTCAAAGCAAACAGTATGATCTGAGAAAAAATTAAAAGAAATACTGTCAAACTAAAGTCTAACAAAGGGTGCCAAACACCCTTTGGCAATCATTCAAAAGCCTACATTCTGCTTAGTGGGAGTTATACCTAGAAAGGAAAATAAAAAACCAAACCACCAGTAGGTCTGTAATATCAGTTTAAACAAATTTGTAACTACAGACAGTAAAATGCTGGAATCATAAAGGATTATTACTTCAAAAATGGCTTTGGCCAAAACAGAAGCAATTTAAGCCCAAGTGTCCAGGTTAGGAGGTGACATGACATTCAGTTTGTTTGGCTGGTCTCTCAAATGTGATGACATCCAGAAGGGAGAGCCCTGGTCTGTTTGGTTCAGCTAAAAGTGAAGAATTTATAATCGTGAGCATAGGAATAAGGTGGGTTTTTTTTGACTTCTAGGTCTAAATTTGGCTTATATAATTAGTTATAAAACCAGTATTGAGATGTCCAGAGTGCATTTACATTGTGAAATTGTCCAATAAGTCTGGAAATTGCAGTTCTACACTATTTTATTCTGGAATGCTCTACTGACTTTGCCCATGATGCATGTGTACTAGCCTATAGGTGCTTTATTGGTAAATTGCTGGAGGCATTGGAATCCCCAGTACAAACTTCTGTCTTCTCACAAATTGTTGCCAATCTTGTCAAGATCTTGCATGGCAATCTGTGTGTGGACAGAAATAGGCATTGAAACTTCCCAAGGTACATGAATGGCATGGATGAGCACAAGAGAAAGACCCAGGCAGGGTTCACTCAATCTTCATTCCCCTCCAAACCTAGGGGTTTAGGAATAAGGCACTCAGCACAGAAACTGGAGAGAAACAGGGAACCTGACATTGGCCAGGGAAGTGGTGGAGTCACCATCCCTGGAAGTTCAGCAAACAAGCAGATATGGCATTTGCTGATGTGGTTTAGTGGAAGTCTTTTCCCACCTGAGGGATTCTGTGATTCTATGACTGCAGGAGTTTGGCACTACTTTCTTTAGCCAGGTCATTATATAATGTGCAAAGATAGACACCCTAAATTATTGTTACGGCCTTCTTCCCGTGGGTGAGTTGGTGTGAGCAACTGGATGGCAGAAACCTGAGCTGTAAAGCAATACAGGTTAAAAGTTTAGCTTTCCACCTTTATGATGGCAGGTTTCACTCTCTCACTGAGAATGCCTCATTTGTATTTACTTTTTAGGGTCATTATCTGTCCCATGAGAGTCTTTGTGAGGGTCCAAATTTCAAATAAACAGTACACTATAAGACAGGTATGTGTGGATAATTTTTGTTGTATTTGGCTAAAATATGGGTACTAAGCTCAATAGGTAAACATAAAAGTATGCCATTGAAAACAATGCATTCCCATTAGTGTTTGAATATGTGCCTAAACTCCGTGTACACTTTTACATGGTTATGTCATTTCCTCTGTAAAATGGGCTTGTTTATACAGCAGCCATATGAAAGATGCAGGAACCCGCTATGTGGGCTATTTGAAGCTTTCTTTAAGAAACATAAAAACCCCTTGACCCTTGTATAATAAAAGGTGTTAAAAGATACTGCTTTTATAACATCTTAGCCAAGACTAATAAGAATGTACAAAGCAAACAATATTTTTTTTTACTCCGTAGTCCTGGTCAATCGTGTTATTTTATGGATTTACTATTGCTGTTGGGTAGTAAAATGATATTTAAAAATAAAATTGCAGGAGATTTCATTGCTTCTCAACAAATCCAATAAACAATAATCTTAACATTTTTTGAAAAACAGTAAATACAGAGCAGTAAATGCACTTTGCTGAGTACTCAGAATAGCCCATTTATTCTGTCATTCCAAGTTCACCGATGTCCCTGTTTGCCTGGTTGTTTTTTTTCAGAACTAGTTTCAACTTTCTGCAGTGATTTGGCCAGCTGAAGTAATGCAAATGGATTCAGTTTCCCCTGATGTCATTTTGAAGGGCACAGCTGTCAAGAAAAAATGACTTAGTCAACAATAACAGTGATTAATTGGCTGACCCTCTGCTAGGGGACAGAAAATGTTCTTTTCACTGCTTTTTTCTCTTAGAATCTATTTGATATAATATCTTAAGCCATAATTTGCCATCCAGGAATCG